GTCTTTTCCAACCTAGATGATTCTATGATTCTATGATTTTCGCAGAGCCTCGTGGCTGAAAACACACGCTTTAGAAATTATACAAAAGAGTTAGTTTTATTAAACCACCCGATTACAAAAATAAATGGAATGGAAGAACACCAAAACAAGACATACACCAACATTCACATCCTAAGTGATGTGACGTTACGGCAGAACGCAGGGGAAGCTCAGCTTCAGTCACCGGGCTGTCCCGACCGTATTCCAGTTCAACTACACCCCCCTTCCAGCCACAGGGCTCGAGTCAACGCAGAACAACCGCAAAGAGAAAGGGCAGAAGAGGTGCCGGGCTGCTGAACAGCTGCAGACGAAGCACCAAACGTGCCGCTTGGGAAGGAAACTGCAAGAATAACCGAGCATCCCTCACTGCTGCATACACCCCAGCCAACTCAAAAGTTGTTTTTAATTAGACAAAACTATTGGCCAACATAAGTGCTGGCTTCATGTTAGCTCAGGCTATGTTAACAGAAAGTTTCTGTGTAAACACTGAAAAAGGAATCGGACCAACTAAAGCGCATTGCTGCTTCTATCTGCGGCCGTGAGCAAGTGGTACCATCCATACCTCGGCCCGATTCCTCGGTTTGCCCTTTTCAGAAGGCAGAATACTGCTTGTCGGTAAGGGTCCCCGAGAGCCTCCTCCCAACCGACCGCGAGCAAAAAGTTCAAGTTTGTGAAGCACTCTGACAGTGAAGACTGCTGTGTTAAAAAAAAAAAAAAAACCCACAAGATTCTTACTCTAGTTAAGTAGCATGGAGGTTGTCAGATGCCATCCTGAGAGAGCTTTAAAGCAGCCAGAATGCCAAGAGCCTTGGGAAGCAGGGTAAAAACCCCAAACTGCTCCCTGCCCCCACATTTGGCTCAAGTTTATCCCAAACAAATTCAACTCCCAACACTCCAGCGTGTACACATGGAAACAAACTCGATTTCTAATGAACTCTACATGTAACCATCACGTAAAAGCAAACCTAACTCTAACTTGTTAGAACAATCAACTCTGTATTTACTTATCGCTATCTCTTAAGGGAGAGGAACACTCATGGCAACGTCCCGGGGGTGGAGAAAGCGCTGTGGCTATCCAGTGAGCAGAAACCTGCGAATACAGCTGCAGCGCGTTCTCCTGACAGCGGGAGACGCTTGCTCAGTACAGCAGGTGGAAGACTTCCAGCAGTGCAGTGCTGCTGGGAGGAACACGGTCAGCAGCAGAGGATCCTCTTCAGGAGTGCTCCGCGGGGCCTGCCCCGTGCCCGTTGACGTGAGGGTGCGATGGGGTTGAGCTCTGGGAGGTAGCAACGCTCTGCTCTGCCGCGGCAGCTGTCAGAGGCATGGAGAGGCTTTCGGGGGACAGCGTGGCAAAGTCTTGTCTCCAGTAGGCTTCGCACAGTGGAAGATCATTGCTGTCACACAGACTGTAGCTTTCCAGAACAAACAACCCCAGTAAGGAGAGAGAGCGGGTGCAATAAGAGAGGAGGGGAGAGAGGGAAGGGGTGGGGGGAGCAAGACAGAAGCAAAGCATTAAGAAAATGGCAAAAAAACGTTCACGGCTGTATGGTCCGCATTCACAAATTCATCACAAGTCTCGTGACACTGGCCTTCCCTAAGACACTCCTTAAGGGCTGGTCTTGAACCTCATGGGCCTGGTGAGGATCAGGGGAATTTCAGGGACAGAACTGTTGCTACCAACTGCAACAGAGGCTTGGTTCTAATCCAGATGCTCCAAATCCCTGAAAAGATCTGGGCTGAAGTCCTGGCACCCCAAATATGGGAGCTCTGCTACTGACCTGAGTGAGACAAGGACCTCATCCAAAATTATTTTACTTGGAATTAGATCACAACCTACATGAGGGAAAGAAAAAAAAAATATAAATCCTGCTCTAAATTTACATTCAGCACAAAAGCTAGCACAATTGTTTTAGGGCCTGTCCCTGTCATGATAAAGAAGAAACCTATTTGCACCCTTGCCCTTTCAAAAAAGCGCTCCACAGAAGGTCCGTGTCTTCTATTGAAGCTCCCCAGCCTGACTATAAAGTTCTGACGGCTCCTACCATTTTCAGCCGAACCTGAGCTAACAGTTCTTCTAACAGCAGCTAACAGTGCAGACTATAGATAGAGCTGGATGAACCAGCAGTGGGGGAAAGTAATGTTTTTAAACGACTGGCTAATTCTTGCCTGTGCTCCGAGGAAAATGCAATGTGGAAGGGCCAAAACTAAAAAAGAAAAATGATGGAAGAAACTGGAACAAAACCAAAACAAATTCCAAAGAGAGGAAAGAGCTGCACACACAAGAGACACCCAAGACAAAGTGAGTGCTGGAGCGGAAAGCAGCTTGCGTTCAGAGTAAAACAAACCCAATGGGTCAAGTGGTTTTGTTGTTGCAGCTTTATTTACATTTTTAATGTATGGACTTAATAGATGCTTAGGGAAATATTTTAGATGTAGAAATACGAGACACTTCAAATTGCACAAACATGAAACATGTTGAGACCTAACCCCACACTCAAGACAGCTCCTGTGATCTCAGAGGAGGGAGCAGTGGAACATAAATGCAAGTTTGGGGTTTAGGATGAGAGAAGGCAAGCTGGACTTGGAGTTACCGCTTTGGGGAATAAGCACACAGAGCACCAGTTGCAAGCATCTACTTCCGAGCTCTTTTCTGGCAGCATCACCTGGCTGGTTTTGCAGTAGATGTGAGAAGGCAGTGGACACAGGTTTTACATCTGGGGCCTTTGTAAAATCCCTTGGAAGATCACCCTTCCCTACAGTCCCCAACACACAGCGAAGCTGGATTCAATTAGTAAAGACCTTCAGGACTGAACCAGAACTACGACTCCCTTTCTGTCAGTCTTAGACCTCAGGCCATGGTTTGCAAGGAAAACCTGGCCACAGCATCCACCACATCTTGCCCAGGGGAGTTACTAACAAAGTTTTAGCTGCGTCAGAAGCATAACTGCTTCTCTCAGGCAGTTCCAAAAGTCTAAGCTTCGCCTTGCACGTAACATTCCTCAAAAGTCGGGGTGAAAGAGCAGCTACTGCACAGCCCACAACAGCACCGGCCAGCCTGCTACTCTGTCATTTGACTGAGGGTTTCTCAGTTTGGGGAAGGGACTTCACTACTGCCCCTGGGGCAGGCAGTCAGGCCTGTGCGCAGAGGAACAGCTCTAGGAAGCTACTTAACACAGACTGAAAGCAAAGATTCCTCCAGAACAAACCTATTTGTCTTTAGTTTCAAGGACCTGCTTTCAGGTCTCCTCATCAAAACGCCATGTAAAAAGTTTAGCAACGAAACCCAACCCTACACCCAATGCGCATCCTATTAGTTACTCGCTGCAGGCAAGGGGCTGACTCCTAAGCTCCTTTAGTGCAATGGCAGTGAGGACTGCCGGGCAGGAGACGCTCCCTGCCACTGGCTTTTCACAGCCGTCGGGAGCAGCGCACAGGGACCAAACAAGCTACACAGCAAGGGGCCGCTCTCAGCTTGGCACACCTGGAGGTGTGCTGCTGCAGGGAGCTCGCTTTTCTACAGCTCTCCCTGGAGGGACGACCTAAAATAAACCAGCGACCTTTGGGGAAACTGGAGCGTGGGGGAGCAGTTTGGCAGGATGGCTGTACGGAACCCATGTCCTGGCCTCACGGGACCGCACACCTCTTTACAAATCCTGTGGATTTGTAAGACCCATGAGAAAGTAATGGTGCAGAGGCAACCCTAGCTGGGCTCACAGGACAGCACAGAATGCCTGTTTGTGGGCAAACCGGCTATTGCATTTACAGCCATTTAAGCACGATTATCACTCTGTGCTATTATGACATATTACGACCATGTGACGTAACAAAAACCTTTTTCCCCCCACATAAAACAGTAAGGTTTCATTAAAAATATCTTAGTACTCTAATTATAAAAGGACTTTGAATAAATCACTGGTTCTACATATACACACGCACACACATAATTTCTTTGGTGCAGAAAAAGACAGGAAAGAGCACAGGAAGGGAATAAGTGCTATAAAAGCCAACGACTAAGTGCTACATGATATGAGGCTTCAGCGGAGGGATCGTAGCTCTGTAGAGTCGCCAAGTTTCCTCACCTCATTGCTGCTCTTGTAAGAAAGAGCACGAAGGCAAATCCGTTTGGTGTATGCCAACATTTGTGCTTAGATGTTGGTTCTGTTACGAGGGGTTGCTTTGCACGGCATCTGGTGCCAGGCAGGTGAACAGACCATGCCAGCACAGTCAGAACCCTCAGTCCAGAAGTTAAAGCTGCCGACACACAGTGGTGGCAGCTTGGTGACAGCGTGAGAGGAGCACGTCTGGCACACGTGAGGCACTATCATCCCACACCACACCACTCTGGATACAGCTCATTGCTATGCTCTATGCAGCCTGTGGACTGGATGCACCCCTGACCTATCAGGACCTGGATGGGTGCTTGGGTTTGTGACCATCACTCTTCATTTTTGAGATATTTCTAGGATCTCTTGCCACTTTCCCCAAAAAAATGAGTACAGTTTGAAAAACAGCTCCAAACTTCTACCTCTAGTTTTATTCCAATGTCGTAACTGTTCCTAAGCTACGTCATATCAGTACCCTTTTTACTCTTAAAATATGTATATTACCCATAAATAATGGCCTAACTTCCAAAGATACCAAGCAATTAGGGTTATAGCTGATTTAGCTGGGGTTATAGGCATTCAGCGTTTTTAGAAAGAAGGGAAAGGCAAAAATAGAAAACCTGGTCATTAAAATTCTAAATAAGATTTTCAAAAGTTAATTTTTTTTGTTTGGAAGTCATGGCATTATTGCACTGACTTCACTTAGCTTGGACAGTGCACCCAAAATGATCAGGTTCTCATTTGTTTTCTCCTGCTTTTGTTTACTGCATCATCAACTAGAAGTGCTGGAGTGCATGACAGAAAATAAAATAAAAAAATAAAGTGTCTGAATTCTCTAAAGCCTGTTCTCTAAAAGTCTTTCTAAAACATTAAAAAGCCCACAAACAAATCAGTAATAAGCCTTCCACAGAAAATCCTATCATAATACTTCATAATTCAACAAAATTGAGCAAGTCTTTTTTGCTCATTTCAAATGTTCACCCCAACAGGACTCCAGGCAGCCGGGGGCAGAGGACTACAAGGGCAAAGGCACACTGTGTAACCAGGTCACTTGTGAAAGGACTCACCACAAAGACGTGGTGACCTCATCTAACATCAGGACCCGGCTCAGCAAGCTCCATCTCTAGGGAGAGAGACAGAAGCTCCTTCAGAGGGATACTCAGACAGAAGCCTGTACCCCCAAGGAAATTCATCTACTTTTACAATGATTACAAAAGATGTCTCAGCAAATTATCTGACAAATCTAGCCAAGTAAAGCAGGCGCCTAGAGTTGGATGTTGTGAATGCCTCCTTCACCGTGACATTTATACCCTGTAGGATATCTACAAGGAAAAGGCAGTTGCTTTAGTCGCAGAAAAAGAGTTTGACCTAATTAAAAACAGGAGTGAAACCTCGTTGGGAACATTCTCAAGACCTATACTGTAAGGACTACTTGTTTGTCTGGACTAACTACCCCAAAAGGGCTGGAGTCATAAGGCAGAAGTCCACTGCCCTATTTGTACCTGGAAGAGTAATATTCTTCTTCTAGCTCGTACAGGTCAATGGAGATCTCATCCCGTAGTGCAATCAACTTCTTGTCACATTCCTCCTGCAAGCTTCTCAGCTGCTGGTTGCGCTGGTTGATAGCTTCGTTCACGGAGGGGAAATCATTGAGGATCAAGAACTGCTTCAGGTCAGACACAAGCTTCATCAGGGACTCACCAGCTCGGACCTCGTAGCAGGGAGAAAAGTCACATAGCACGCAGCATATCAAAACAGTGCTTTGCTCCAATTCTAAAACAAGATTTCCCAAGCAGCTCCTTCAGCCCAAGTCTTGAATGAAGTACAAACTCCCACATTGTGTGAGGATTCTGGCAGAAGCCTGTAGCTGACAAGCCAAGCTACCCAGCTTTCCCCCAGGGAAGGAACTCACCCAACAGCCACCCCAAATATCAGGTCACTCTTCTAGCAGCAGTCCTCGTAAAAGTTATAAAGGCTGCCCTAGATGCAATAATGAACCCAACAGTACCTGAAGGATGTGCTGCCCACTGATTTGAGCAGCAGATGGTACTCACAATGTTTGCGGCTCTGACATGCATCTCATAGTTATCTTGTTCACCCTGGGTTGCTCGAGACACTTGAGTTTCATCCTCAATCTAAAGGAAAAAAGCGTTATGTATCCACCTTTATATACTAAAATCCTGATACGCGATTACTACGTTATAAGGCATCTCATTTCAGTTCAGTCCACACTTGGAATCCCTGGGGCAGCCTCTGGACTCTACTCTCACGTGTCATCTTTGCTACCCTCCCCGCTTGCTTCTGCATTTCTTCCCCGTTCAGCAACGTCGCTTGGCTGCCCGCAGGGCAGAGGCAGGGACGCCAGCAGCAGCCAGGGAGAACCAACCCCCTCTTCCCTCAGGGCTGCCCTCGGGGGAATGGGAGAAAGGTCC